ATAGTGTCACAAGTTAGAAAAATTATATATTTATTTATTTATTAATATCACATTATCATTATAAATTTATTATTTTACATGACATTATAAATATTTAATTTCAGAAATAAAAAAAGATAAAATACTTAATTTGACACATAAGACAAATAATTAATAACTTAGACAACTAAAAAAATGTTTGAAAAAAAGGCCGCAAAATTAGGTGGCTAACAATTACTGGCTAGTGGTGGTAATATTTAAAATGATGGAATGTTTAATAGAAACTAATGATGGAAGTAGACGAACCACGGATAATTAATCATTTGTTAATTCTCTCACTTGCACTATAAATAGACCCATACCAATGGATAGCAAAACGCACCAGCGCCCTCTCCTGTGTCATCCTCTCAAGCTCGCCACTCTTGTTGATCCACCACCTTTCTCCAAGCTAGCTAGCCAATAGCAATGGCTCCAGCAGTTGCATTCCCAACCACTGACTCTGCTGCCCTTACCGATTTCGTCATAAACCAAGGGAATGGAGTGAAGGGTCTTTCAGAATTGGGACTCAAAGCCCTCCCCAAACATTATATCCAACCTGAGGGGGAAAGAGTTGATAACAGCAAAATCATAACCAATGAATCCATACCTATTATTGATCTCTCCAACTGGGAAGACCCCAAAGTGGCAGATTCAATCTGTGATGCAGCAGAGAAATGGGGGTTCTTCCAAATTGTTAACCATGGGGTGCCTGTTGGAGTGTTGGATCGTGTGCAGGATGCAACCCATCTGTTCTTTGGACTTCCAGCTGCTGAGAAGAACAAGTATTCCAAAGACCATTCTCCTTCTAACAGTGTGAGGTTTGGCACAAGCTTTAGCCCTCAAGCTGAGAAGGCTTTGGAATGGAAAGATTACCTAAGCCTCTTCTATGTCTCCGAAGAGGAGGCTGCTGCTCTCTGGCCCCCTGCTTGCAGGTATGTATATAGTTACAACTTTAGCCTCCATGCACATGCATCTTGTCCTGTAATCAGGTTTTGTTTGCCTGAATCTAATATTGAACATGTTTTTATTTTCAGGGATGAAGTGTTCGAATTCATGAAAGGCTCCGATGTTGTCATCAAACGGCTGTTGCAGGTTCTGATGAAGAGACTGAATGTTAACGAAATTGATGAAACCAAAAAATCTCTACTGATGGGTTCAGTCAGAGTTAACCTTAACTACTACCCCATATGTCCGAACCCCGAACTCACCATCGGAGTCGGACGTCACTCCGATGTCTCAACCCTTACAATCCTGCTCCAAGACGAAATCGGGGGGCTCTACGTTAAAGGACGTCAAGGCGATGACAGCTGGATTCACGTCCCTCCTATCAAAGGCTCCCTTGTGATCAACATCGGAGATGCACTGCAAATTTTGAGCAACGGTAGATACAAGAGTATCGAGCACCGTGTGGTCGCTAATGCAAGCCAGAACAGGATTTCCGTTCCCATTTTCGTGAATCCGAGACCGTCCGCTATGATCGGTCCATTGCCGGAGGTGGTGGCAAACGGTGAGAAACCGATATACAAGCAAGTCCTGTACTCGGATTACGTCAAACATTTCTTCCGAAAAGCACATGACGGGAAGGCCACGGTGGAATTTGCAAAAATAGATGCATGACCGTTGCGCATTATTTAAGAATTATAAGCTTGACAGCCGACTAAAGAGAAAATATATGTAGAAATTATAAGTGTGTTGTCTTATATTAGAATAATCTTCATATAGTTTCTGATTTGCTACAGCAGATCAAAAATCGGTGTATTAAGAAGAAAAAGCTTCGCATATATCCTTGTTTAGTTAATTAGTAAAGGTATGAAAATTAGTATCTTCATTCCTCCATACAATTTCTCATAAAAAGTAATTTAATTTTTTCGAACTTTATTTTTTAATCGTAAACTCTCAAACTATACTTTATGATCAGTGATACTAAATAAAGTTTTACTTTTAAAATTAATAAGATATAATTCATTAAAATTATTAGTTATTGATATTTATTAAAAATATGTATTATTATTCTATGATAAAAATATAAGAAATCAAAATAAAACCACGACATTTAATTATATAATTAAAAAATAATAATAAATAAATCATTATATAACTAAAATTAAACACCTTGATATTATTTTCACTTCTTCAATAACCTTAATAAATCAATTGTCAAACGAGTAATAGAATAACTGTTCACGTTCCACGGCATATACCCACCGAGCACGATGCATCAGACAAAAAAAGTCATCAAAGAATGAAAATATATAGGGCCCAGAACTTTTCTGGGATTAATTAACAAGACTTTTTAAATGAAGACAAACGCAACTTTAGCAATCTCATCCATGACTAACTACACGAAAATTGATTTTGTGGGGGTTCAGCTTCATTATTACACATAAAAATTTAGTAATCTCATCCATGACTAACTACAGAAAAATAGATCTTTTGGGGTTCAGCTTCATTACACAATAAACTGGAAAAAAGCATTACATTTACAGAGCTTTGTCGTTTGGCTTAGTCTGCGAAAAATTTAATTTAAAGAATGGAAAGTGCAAAGCGAAGATTGTTGAATGTTGATCTACTAATATATAGGTTGTTGGTAAAATAAAATAAAGATTCATTGTTGACGAAATAATATATGAGAGTTTATATTAGGAAAATTTTTGCATAATCAAAATTAATGTTTAATTTTATGGCAAACCAAGACAGTGGATGGTGCAGCCCATGGGCATTGAGATATGTATTTCTTGTAAAAAGTTATAGATATAAATATAACATAAATTAGACTCTAAAACACCATACTTCAAATAATTAAATAATAAAATTACATACAGTTATTGGAAGCTATTGATCTATGAGCCTGCAAAAAAAGAAACTAAGAAACAAACAAAAAAAGTTAAAGGTTAAATTTTCTTCTCTCTGTTCAATTTTCATACAGTGAAAATTAATGGGTTATATCATTTCTTAGTCCTACTATTTATAAAGGTAGAGTTTTTTGAACGAGAGATGATACCTACTCTATTGTAATAATATTTTAGGCACTCCTACTAAGTAGTTTATTTTTTTAATTCCAACCCATATATCTATTCATATCATACTATATAAAATTAAGATAAAACTTAATCTCACTTGGATTATGAACTTTATTGGACTTTATCAATTTTTCATTTGACTTATTTTTTAAGAAAACTAAATACAATTAGCAGAAACCAACATAAAATTTCCAATATTCTCCCACTTGCAATAGTAATTGGTTTTCAATTTTAAAAATATATTTTTAAAAATGACTCTTAGGTCAAACGCAACTTTAGTGGCCACAAATATAAATCAAAAATTCAGTACAGAATTCCATTCAATAAAAGTATCAATATTGAATTGTAGTGATCATTGCATTTCCTTTTAATGTAAGATCCCTCACAATCACAAAATATCAAATATTTCCATCAACATGAATTCAAATAGGTGTGATAAAATATAGTGTGGTTTGACATAATATGATCCTTATAATATATAATATGTCAAGACCACAATGACCCTTTTTATGATTTCAAAGAAACTCTTTTACAATTCCTCATGGGAAGACTTTAAATTTATTTTAATTTAAAAGAAACTCAGGAGTAAACTACCAATACTTTCAATTAGACACTTCAAAAGAAACCTTTTTAATCTTTATATCTAAAACATATATATCTTCGTGGATTCATAACAAACATGGGCATTAAAATAAGAGCACATAATAGAAAATAAAATATGGTGATATGAGCTTTATTAATATAAATACTTAAAGGGTCATAATATCCTCAAAATCATTAACTCCCACTAACCTAGTATCTAAAAGACAATGATAGCCCCATGTTTCCCATGTCTTTCAAAGTCAATAAATCTAAGTCCTTTGGTTGGTGGGTCGACAAGAATATTGTCCGTACCAATATTCTCATGCTCAATAACACCATTGTCAACCCATAGCCCATAGCTTGATTTGAAGTACTTTGAATTTTGCACCACCAGTATTCTTTGTGTTTTTGGAAAAGGATACCGCAAAAGAGTTATCACAATAAATTTTAAGTGGTTTGGAAATGGAATCAATAACTCTCAATTCTATAATAAAATTTCTCAACCATTTGGCATGGCCTCCAGCTTCAAAACAAGCTATGACCTCAGCTTTCATGGTAGAAGTCATTGAAATAGATTGCTTAGAACTTTTCCAAGAGATAAGACCACCTACAAGGATAAATATATAACCAGTACCTAGTAGATTTCCTATCATTTGTACATGTAGCAAAATCTTCATCTACAAATCCCACCACATCTAAGTTCTCAACCCTTCTATAAACAAGCATGTGATTTCTTGTGTTACGCAAATATCTCAAGGCTGCTTTGCAACAATCCAATGGTGATAACTAGGATTAGACAAATATCTACCAAGTATACTAGTTGCAAAAGCCATTTCTGTTTTGGTATACACTTTGTGAATACGTTAAACTCCCAACAGCACAACTATAAGAAACTCCCTTCATCTGCTCCTTCTTAATATTATTTTTAGGACATTGTTCATCACTCAACTTGTCCCTTTTATTTATTGGGGCCACACCAAGTCTACAATAATGTAAACCAAATTTGTCAAGAACCCTATCAATATAGGTTCTTTGTGAAAGTCTCAACATTTTCTTAGATCTATCCCTATGGATTTCTACTCCAAGAAAAAAAGTAGCCTTTCGCAGATCTTTCATGTCAAAGGTTTTAGAAAGCATCCTTTTCACATCTAACAATAATTCCATATCACAACTAGCAAGTAAAATATCATCCACATATAATACTAAAAAAACATATCTACTTTTACTGACCTTGAGATATATGCAATTGTTAATAGTATCCTCCACAAAACCTAAGGATGTGACTACCTCGTGAAACTTTAGATACCATTGTCTAGAGGCTTGTTTTTAAACCGTAAATAAACTTCTTCAACTTACACATCATGTGCTCTTTTCCTCCTACTTCAAAACCTTCAGGCCGCATCATGTACACCTCTTCCAACAAGTCTCCATTTAGAAAAGCAATCTTAACATCCATCTGATGAAGCTTAAGATCAAAATGTGCTACTAAAGCCATTATAATTATAAAAGAATATTTAGAAGAGATTGGAGAAAAAGTTTCTCTACAGTCTATTTCTTCCTTTTGTGTGTACCCTTTTGCAACTAGTTTAGCCTTAAACCTTTCAATCTTTTCTTTTGTATCCTTTTTAGTTCTATAAATCCATTTACAACCAATGGGTTTAAAACCATTAGGAATTTCCACCAATTCCCAAACTCCACTACCATACATAGACAACATCTCCTCTTTCATGGCAAATTGCCATTTATCTGATTATGGACTTGTAATGGCTTTAGAAAAAGTTATTGAATCTACAACTGTCCCAATATCATGATATACTTCCCCTGAATAGACTACAAAATCATCTGATATAATAGGTCTCCTTTCTTTTTGATAACTCCTAGTGGGAACTATAGGATCTAGTTGAATATTTTGTAATTTTTCAAAAGATATAGGTTGATTCGTTTCATCTTGTTGGTTTCTACTCCCTGACATTGGTACCACCTCCTTATGTATGATAGGCACTTGTATAGTTGTTAAAGATTTTTCAAAACTTGACAAAAAAACTTGCCTTGTCACGTGAACAATCACTATTCCTAACATCCTCCTCTAGAAATTTTGCTGTCATAGATTCAACAATCCTTGTGCTATTACTTAGGGCAATAGAACCTGTAGCTTTTAGAAGCTTCTGGGTAATTGATAAAAAATCGAAGTGTTGTTCTGGGATCAAGTTTTTTCTCATTAGGATTATAAATCTTAATTTTTGCAGGACGCCTCGCCAAATGCTTGAATGATTTAAACTAGGTTTTTTTTTTTTTTTTTTTATCTATCTATAGTTCAAAAGGTGTTTTGGAAGCAGATTTACTAGGTACTTGGTTTAGGATATACAGTGCTGTTTTGAGAGCTCCACTCAAAGGGATTCAAGTAACTTACTTCGATTGATCATACTCTTCATCATACTCCTCATCATGTCTTTAAGAGTGCAATTCTGGTGTTTGGCTACACCATTTTGTTCAAGAGTCCCAAGCATTGTATACTATGCCACAATACCATAATTCTATAAGAAGTTAGGAAAAGGTCCCTAAGACTGATCCAAGTCTCCATGTTTCCCATAATATTCATCACCACAATTAGACCTAACAACTTTGATAACCACCTAAGTTGTTTTCCAACTTCAACCTTAAAAATTTTAAATTTGTCTACAGTCTAACTTTTGATCAATTAGGTAGATGTATCCATATCTGAAAAAATCATTTATAAAAGTTACAGGAAATCTTTTACCACATAAGTTGGGAGGTAAGGGTCCACTAATGTTAGTGTGAATTAATTCTAGCACACTACCTAAACGTGTAGCACCATGTTTTCTTGTTTTGGTCAACTTACCTCTAATGCAATTCATGCAAATTTTAAAATCATCAAAATTCAAATTAGGAAGAATTTCATTTTTAATCAATCTCACAATACTTTCTTTAAAAATATGAGCTAACCTTTTATGCCACAAGAAATAAGATTTTTCCTTATTCAAAACTCTTTTGGTTCCAGTTTTTTCAATGTCGAAATAGTAAATTTCTATAGGTAAATTTAGCTTGCACAAACATCTTTAAGAAAATATTCACCAATGCAATTTGAATTAAGGAAAACATTCAACTCTTTTATTGCAAGAAATAAAAGGATAACCAACTTTATTGAGTTTTGAAAGAGAAATTTAACTCCTCATCATTGATGGTGCATAAATAGTATT